ATGAGATGTGAATAAACAAAACTTTAGTGTGTGGGTACAGATACACATTTCTCCTGAGGAGATAGTGCTCATTGATCCTCAAAGAACTCCATGACCTCAAGAAAATAAACTATCCATCCAGCTCTAATTCTCTCTTTCTCCTCTGACAGCCTCTTTGTAGCACCGCCTCATTTGGCACCATAATGACTGATAAATGAGGTAGCTCATTGGTTCCTGAGTGTTGGTCTTGTCTCTTAACCACATCTCCATTCTTATTTATTTTTCATCATGGCACTAGGCACCAGGGGAAGCCAGTGCATATTGCTGGCCCGCACTGCTCTGGACTGACAACATTCCCCCGGGGGGTCCTTTCCATGTCCACCCAACCCCCATCCTTCTGGAAGGCCTCTGTGCGTTTCAAAGCCCAATTCGAATGTGACTTCCTCCAAGACAACGTCCAAGACACATCTCTTTCCCCAACGTGACCGAGACACATGTGAGCTCCCTTATTACATATATCACTTATTTTGGTCAGCTCTACAGTGGCGTTGTCCCACTAATGGAAAACAACTGGAGGGCACAGAGAGAATTTTCTTCATGTGTTTGTCAATGTCCCCTGTCCCACCTCCTCCCCACCCTGAGCAGACAACAGTGGGTGCTTAATAGTTGTATGGTCAAATTGTTTCCCTGAGCCGCCGAAGAGACAAACTGGAATGAAATCCTAGGACTAGGGACCTGCTCACTCCTGCCAGAGAGGCCAGTCACCTGGATCAGCAGCCATGACCCTGTGATGTGAGGACAGCTCTGTCTGGGAGTCAGCTGAGTTCTGTGGGGGTCAGGGAGCAGGGAGGAGAATGCATACAACCTTGACACAGAGGGAAGATGAGAAAGCCAGGAGTGATTCATTGTCCCAAACTGGAACACAGTGGTTTGGGCCAAAGAGTGTGGGGAGAAAGAGGGGAGGGGAAGGCAGAGAAGGAAGAGAAGAAAAAAGTATGAGGGTGCTGAGAAGACCACAGACCAAGCTCTCCCAGCTCTGTCTGTAATTGCTTCTCACCTCCTCTGCCACACCTGCAAGCTCAGCCCTGGGTCTAGGTCTCGCCCAGAAGGGAGATGCAAAAGCAGGCAGAGCCTGCCCGTCACTGGCATCGAAGCCTTCCAGCAGCTTCCTGGCACTCTTGAACGAACCCAACAAGCTCTCCGAGAACCCCAAGGCCTGTATCATCTGGGTCCTTCTCCAACCTGATTTCCTCCCTCTCTCCTTCCTGTCGCTGTGGCTCCTGTCACACTGGTCTGCTTGCCGGTCTAGGAACACAAGGTGTCAGGGGCTTTGCCCTTGCTCCTTCATATATTCACTTTGTCACTTTGTTCAGGTCTTTGCTTAAATGTTACCTCCTCAGAGAGACCTTGACCATCCTATGTAAAACAGCACCTCAACTGCCCCATACAACTCACTGTGCCTGTGCCCTACTTCTTCACAGCATGCCATTGACATTTTACTCCGCATTTATTTGGTTTTTGTTAGTCCCCTTCCCTTGTACCTCCCAGCAACTAGTGTCTCCCACAGAACATCTCTACCTCTAACTTCATTAATGTCTAAAATTCACCTTTGAGCCTAACTCTTGCATGGGGGCAATTGCAGCTCACTTGGAGAATTTGATGAGGCAGGATCGGTAGCCACTGGGAGGAAAGGGACTTCTTTTTACCCACTTACTGATTGGCACCCTTGCCAAGAGAAAGATGCCTAAACCCTGTGGCTGGAAGGTCAACATGCAAGTTAGGGGAGTCTGTTAATGAGAATCCCACCTTCCAACTGGTCCAGCAGTGCCAGGCACTGAGTGGAGGGGCCCAACTAAAATATAAGGTGGAACCACTCCCAGAGGCCATTCATGGGAGGTAATGCAATTACTTCTAGGGCCCTGTCTATAAGTAACACAAAGCAGCACCAACTTTGAGAAGGAGGCCACCCAGGCTATAAATCTGTCAGGCTGGCCTTTCTCAATCAATGGGCCTCCTTTGTTGCTAAGAGGACTCACCAAATGCTGACATTCTCATCTAAGCCTTGAAAGTCAGAGAGGTGTAAATTCTGTAGTTAAATCTGTTCCCAGAATAAATGTGGCACTAACATTTTTAATTAAATTGGGAGTGTGAGAGGGAGATGGAGCTATGTTATGCCTTCTACTGACCTCGCCCCCACCTCTATGCAAACAAACAGTGTCCACCTTCCAGCCTGTGGTCCTTCAGAGACACCAGAGAGTCTGGGCAATTCTGACCAGGCTCCTAGGAGCATGTTTGGTGTCTCAGAAGAATGTCGGGAAGGGAGGAAGAAGACAGAATGCTGTGGCTGAAGTCAGGTTTTGTTTTGCAGATGCAAATGCCTTGAACAAGCCCAGCGGGGTGTGCTAGGTCAGCACCCACATCCACAGAGCAGGGAGATGAAGCGGCAGCCACCTTCCCAGGCATAAAAAAGGAACCCGGCTTTTCTGAAGAGGCACTCGAGAAGGTTTTCTCTAAATACCAGGCCTCCTCTAGAAACTGCAAACAAATTGAACTTTTCAAACCTCCATCTGTGCCATTTCTCCAACCCCACCCTCCACAGAAAGCCAGGGACACCTGAGTACCCGTTTCTCTCTCCTGCCCAGGTCTGTCACTCTGGCCCTCCTCCTCCCCAATCTCCCTTAATATAGGTGATGCCTCCACCTCTCCCTTTTGCTGGCTATTTCGTTGGCTAGAGCCTGGGCCCTGCTGGCTTTACCTACAGCCTGAAAGGAGCACGTGAGGCTTACAGGTGCCTGAGTCTCCGCCTCCTTATAAATGGGTGGGGAGAGCTGTAGGAAGGATGTGTCCCTGAAGGTTGTCCCTACAACAAACAAGCCAATGGAAAGAGGTAGGAACGTCCTTTTTCTTGCCTCACCTTGGCTCCCTTTTCTGAGTTAGGTCTTGGCATGGATACACTCTCACTTTTAATCCTCACTCTGGGACCTTCAGTTTTCTGAGCAATTTTTCATCCCCAGGAAAAGCTTCAAAGCTCTCCCTTCTGTGCTGTTGCAGAAGACATAACAACCAAATGCCATGTGTGGACTGTGTTTGGATCCTGATTTGAACAAACCAACTATAGCAGGACATCCTTGAGAAAAGTGGGGTTGTGAGTATGAACTTTGTACTCAGATGATATTAAGGAATTATTCTCGATTTTGTGAGGTGTGATAATGGCACAGTGGTAGTATTAAAAAGAAAGTCCTTATCAGAGATTCATGCTGAAGAATTTATGAATTAAATATGTCTGAAGTTTCCTTTAAAATACTCCAGAAAAAATAGCGGTAGAGATGAATAAGAGAGGACTGGCCATAACTTGCTCACGGTTGAAACTGGGTAATAGGTACATGGAATTCACTATACAATTCTCCATACTTTTGTGTAAGTTTTTAACATTTCCAATAACAAAAAGTTAAAAACAAAAACTCTCCCTTTTTTAATCTCTATAATCTCCTTCTCTTTAATTTCCATTTAACAGTCCAGGTTCCTGACCCCAATCTGGCCCTATCCCCATCCCTCCAAATTCTACTTGGCACCTTCTCCGCAAGGCTACATTTGGGGGGGGGGATTTAGGAGGGAAGACCTTCTCTGAGAATGCTTCTGCCCTCTGCCATCCCTCTTACCCTTTCTCAATCCAAATTCATCTTTCTCCTGTCTTTCTGGACTATTAGGTACCTCTGTTTGATCGCTCATCATAGCCATTCCCATCTTTCAGTTGGTCGGGTCCCCATCTGTCCCAGACACTGCATCTTTTATTTAGGGGTTGTCTTGCCCTTATCTGTCACTTTCCTCCAGAGCCAGAGAACAATCAGTGTTTGTTCGACTGAACTGGCCCCTTCTGCTCCTCAAATAGGCCTACTGCTGGGTCTCCTCTCAGGGCAGAGCCTTCTCCACAGGCCAAGTTTCACAGACAAAGGAGAAAAGGCCATTCGGTTCCACAGACATTTACAGAGGCCAACAGTGGGGATGGTATCTGGGCATGCAGCCACCTCCCACATGGGCCGACTGCACCCAGTGATGGAGTGAGGTTGGAAGCCACCATGTTCATAATCACCTGTAGGGGAGGGTGGATGGTGCACCGGTGCAGAGTGGGGCTGCATGGAGGAGACTCCGGCTTCTTCTGCCATTATTACTCTACCCCACCAGTTACCGTGCCACCTCCACCCTTCCCAAAGCAGAGTAGAGTAATCGTGTGCCATGTGCATCTGCTTCAGAGCAGGGACAGGCTGCCGCCTTCCCCAGGAAGCTTTCACAGCTTCCTTAGGAACCGTTATTCAGGAAGCTGTCACACACTCACCCTTCCCTTCCCAACAGTTAAGATTCGTGTTTGCACAGAGCACAGAGGCCAACCTTTCATTCACGGCCTGGTAAGTGAAAAATCTGATGGCAGATGAGCCTGCCCACAGAGCATGTCCCCTAGGCCTTCCACCCACTAGGTACCAGTGCCATGGACACCCAGGAGCATCAGTCTCACCCTGCCCTTGAGCCCCCTGTTAAGATGCCAGTGGTGGGCATGTGCAGAGGAATTCAGCAGGCCCTCTGGCTGGGCTCTCCACAGGCCTCCCTGAGCTCCCGTCAGCATCAGGTTTGGATGCCAAAGGGTGATGGGAGTTGGACTGGCCAGGTGACAGAGTAAGGTCACAGTCCTCTTTAATTTCCCTGAAAGACTTGGGAGCATTTCTCAGTTCTCTTCGATTTGTCTTTGGAAACTCTTAGTAGAGAAAAGGATTTGTTTATCAATAACAAGGACTGGACACAAACACAGAGAAGATGATTCCACTACTGTGAGAAAAACCTCTTGTGGTTCTGACTAGATGGATAACTTAAGAAAAATCCTGTCCTGGAAAATGCTATAAAATGAGGGTGTTCAGTGGTTCACTGCTGAGGACCTCCCAGCACAGTGTATGCCTGATGCCACGATTCTAAAATAGCCACTTCTCCCTCCTTCTTCCAGGTCTCCCTGATTCAAACCATCAACATCTAACTCCTTTATTGCATTTTATTTCTATCTTCACAAGAAAGTTTCTCTTGAGTTGTTCATTTAGGAGCTTCCTTTCCTTAGGAAACCTGGCTGTATTCAAGGTCTGTTAGCATGGCCAAAGAGACCTTTGATATTTGTAGTGTCTTATGCCAAATGAGTACATCACGCCCCATGATAGGGCAGGTAAGTTCTTGGAGAGATTGTAGATGGACCATATGTACCAATTCTTCCAAGCAGGGAGTAGGAAACAGCTGGGCCATCTTCTGTTGATTCCAAGATGCACATTTTTTGGCTCTCTGATATCAAGACTTTTCTTCCAGTCAATGGCATCATATCATCACTATTGGCCTGAAGCAAAGGTAGATGTTCTGAGAGATGATCACGCTGCTTCTGCCAGCCATCAGGGGCCTCCCAGCCTCAGACTGTTTGACATTAGATTCTCTGCTTGAGGTTCTTTTGGGTCACACTGATTGTGAAGTTCAGAAAGCAAACCTGTATGAGGACCACCAACATGGGGCTCCTGTTCTCAGAGGAGGATTTTTCATTCTATGACCTAGTGTCAAGGTTAGGACATACATACTCCCTTGCTTTCCTTTTCTCAGAGTGGCTTTATTTCTCATTTACCCTCTCAGTGAGGGTGTCTCAACTTTGTATGTGGGGGAGTCTCCTATTGGATTTCCCATCTTGGGCATTTTATCTTTCTTATTTTTGGTACATAAAATAACGGTTCTTCTTATATTAGAGAAAAATACGGTTTCTTATAGTTGATGAAAAAAATTAATAATATATATTATATTTGAAATGATCTAGCATGCTAATAGAAAAGGAGGTAGGATTTTGAAGAAATGGTTTCATGGAATCTCATGTCTCATCCTAAACTACTTCCCATCTGTGCTGCTCACTGGCCATATCCCCCTCAGCATATATCGGACTGTTGTATAGCCCGACACCTATTATGGCTCCCCATGACTCTTGGGATAGAGGCAGAGTTCTTTAATATGGCAAAGCCCTGCTGATCCTGCCTCCTCTCCAGCTGCATCTACACCATAATATTCTTATTCTCCCCTCTCCAGCTTTCTTTCTGTCTCTGCAATTTCAGCCTCCCCCTCCCCCTCCCATCATAGAGCCTGGCATGGCAGCTGGGAACAATTCTTTCTCCCTGGGTTGCTTCTTGATCTCAGCTCCAGCGTAACCACTTCAAACCTTCCCTGACTAGATCAAACCCCCCAGCTGCAGTTCTACATTTCTAGAATGTTCTTGATTAATGTTGGAATCCTTCACTGGACTGCAAACTCCATTAAAGAAGGAAATATGCCTGTCTTCACTCAACTGTGTATCCCCAGTGCCAAGTCAAGCGCCTGGCAGTTGGTAGGTGCTCAGAAATTATTTGCGAATGGATGGGTGGATGAATATGGGTATAACTTGCCCCAGAAGCAGAGAGTAAAAAACGCCTGTTAGCGGAAGCAGAAAGAACAGACTTATCATCAGGAGACCTCCACTTTTGCCAGTATTATGACCTTGGGCAAATCACATCCTCTCTGTTTCCTCATCTCCACATTGAGAATAACGTTTACCCCACCTATCTGACAAGGGTGTTTTGTGAGTCTGTGAAGACACTTTGAACCTACACATCTGTTCCCCCATCTCAAGCTTCTAGCACAGCGCCGGGGCCACACTCCATGCTCTGTCTATGTGAGCTCACTGACTGGTCCCCGTTCCAGGAAAAGGGTGGTGAGATCACAGTTCTTGACACAGTTCTCCCGAAGCTCGGGTCAAGAAAGGACCACTGAGCCTTGTGCTTCCCAGTCTTAATGTCCACCTTCTTCAAAAACTCCCATAGATTGTCTCAGACTTTTCAGGGCCTAGTGCCCTAAGTGCATAAGAAAAATAACCTGTTTGTTGAGTCTCTTTTGGTCTTCATTCCCAGCACAAGGTTGGGGCCCTTAGCCAGAGTGGGGAAAGCTGGAAAGGGTGAGATGCTGCCCCTTCGCTCCTGCTCTGCAGGCTGATCTTCAGACAGGAATAGGGCTGGAGAGGAACAATGAACTGCACCTGCTAGGGCACACTGCTGGGGACAGTCATGTGACATTATGACGCAATCCACCTTTACCTGGCAGAATACATGAAGTTGCTTACTTTACCTCTGAGATCCGAACTTTAGTATCATGGTGGATATTTATAGCAAAGCCTCACAATTTCTCTCCATATACCTCATCTTAGAGTCAGGCATCCTGAGTTTCTGTTTCATCTGTATCAACTAGCTATAAATGACCCTGAGTAAGCCATTTTCTCTTTGAGTCAATTTCCTCATCGGTTACATAAAATAATACTAACAACAATAGTAATACCATCCACCTTCCTGTCTCACAGAGTTCTTTTAAGGATCAAAGACAGAAGTGTTTGGTAAGTGATGTCAATGCAAATGAAAAGTAATATTTTCTCTATGCATTTTAAATCCCTCCTTTTGCAGCAGGAAATCACCGAGCTAACTTAGTGTTATCCCTACTTAACTCAGATATTACCCAAGATCTACAATTCATAAGGCATATAGGCAGGAAGTGAGGTGTGTACATATCCATTATTACAAATAAGTTATCAAACATCTCCCCAGGGGCTCGCCTTCCATCCTCTGGAGAAGGATACGTTGAAGGGTATTCATTCTTAATTGTTTAAAAAGCTTGGCTGCCCTGCCAGCCCACTCCCAGAAAACTGGGTTGGTGAGAGGAGGTGCAAAATGAATAACTACCCAGAGCCTCCATGATTCTGGATTCTGTCAAGGAGGGTGGAGCTATGCTACAAACACACATCCCTGCAGGATAATTCTAGCCAATGCCCACCAGGGCAATTGGAAACATGCTTCTGCAAGCCACCCAGGATGCATTACTGACTAGATTCTGGTGCTCAGAGCTTCAAGCTGGCCAAGACTTCCTTGCTGCCTAATCTGTTGAGCAGTTCCACTAGGGACTCACTGGCATCCCAGTGGAACATGGAGCCCAGGCCATCTGTGCTCCCACTCTCCAGCTGGAAGCTGCCCACCCGTTCCTGGATCCACTGTAGGTCTGCTGAGAGTTCTTGCCTCAGAGCTTCATACTGCATCTGCAGATGGTCTAATTTCCTGGTCATGCTTCCAAGGCTGGACCCTGTGGCCTGGATGTCTTCTCTCAGGAGCTTCTTCAAGGACTCCACTTTGCGGAACTCATACCTGAGCTGGGACAGGTTGTGCCGGATGCTTTCTCTCTCTTCTCGGTACCAAGCTTCCTTCTCATTGAATATGGAGACCAGGGCCTCCACATCATCCTGGATGGTGTCATGGGCCTCTGCTAGGACACAGCATCCCTGGTCTACCCAAGCCACGTCCTCTACCACACGAGCAAAACGCTCAAAGTTGACATAGGTGTTGTTGGGGGGCATGCTTGAGTGGCATTTGAGGGTGTACTCTCTCAGGCGCTTGGTCTTCAGCTGGGTGGGCTCTGTCTTCCGCTGTTCCGGGGCTCTGACTTCTCCTTTGGACTGGTGGGTGTTTAGATAGAAGAGCCAGAATTAATTTGACGTCTACTCCAAAAGGCAGTTTGAGGTGTAGGCGGAAGGCACACGAGCAGCCTCTTTGGCATTCACTACATGCAGCAGCAGGCCATGGGGAGGACCAAGGTGGGATGAGCATCCCCGCAAACCATAAGCAAAGTCAAGGAGTATGGAGGTCCTGCCTGAATACTTACTTCAGGGTAGGGTGGTCCATGGCCTTTAAAGGGTCTTCACACACATAGCATTTAGGGGCGCTCACACAGACAAGCAGGCTACAGCAGAACTCTGCAGGCATCCACTCAAGGGCAGGAGCACACAGGCCACGGCTGACAGAGGGAGGCTGAGGAGCCTCTCTCCTTCGGGGTCAGTCAGCTCCTGGGGCCTCAGCAACACTCAGCAGGCTGAGCGGGGAGGCAGGCCGAGAGACTGCCTAGCTTTGTGCTCTGGGCCCACCCCAAACCTGGAGGGCCCTTGGCCTGCCCCATCCTTTGGAGAGTGGAGGAACCTGACCTTCTCTGGTGCGTTCCAGCCCTCCCCACCCACTCTCCATCTTCCACAAGCTTCTGCATCCCCAGATCTTCCTCGCCAGCCCTCTCATTTAACAGTTCAGATGAATGGGAGGTCTGGTGATGTCCCTGGGAGTGCACATCTGGTCAGTCTACAGAACTGGGGCCAGAATCCCAATCTCCTGATTCCCACTCTCCCAAAGGGCTTCTCATTAGCACTTTATTGTGACCAGACGCAAGACCTTCTGAAAAAACTGAAGCTAGAAGCGCAATTACAAAGCAGGTCAGGCAGGGGCCACTTTTGTGTCTCCTCCCTCCCCAGAGGGGATGGAATTGCCCTAAGGGAATGGATGCCTTTCTTCTCATCTCAGACCCCTATTCCCTGAAGTCTGGAGGAGGCTGAGGAAGCTAGGTGACTGGTTTGAGTATCATCCTTTACTCACAGCCCCGAAAGTCAGAAAGAAGGAGCCCTGGTTACAAAGTCAAGGTTTTTCATTGTCATTGATGTCTCTACAATTGGAGAGTCCTGATTTCTGCTTCGAAAGTGCTGGTGACATGTCGTCTGACAAGGAACACGTTATAAGACAGCACCAAAGAGAAAAGGTTTCAACTGAGGTTTGCGAGGGCTGCATTTCTTAAGTCACCTAAACAACATGAAATATAAACTTAAACCTACAAACCTATTTGAACAAGCCCCAGACCCTTTTGGAGCTCCCACTAGCTTTCAGTTGTGCTCAAAGGTCAGTATTTCATGCAAAGGCCTTTCCATGGGCCCTCTGCATATGGTCACCCCAGCCAGCCCTGGTGACAGAGCAGAGACCTGTCACTGGAACTCACCACCATGCCCTTACCGTGATCCAGGGGTGCCTGAGAGCCTCTTGGATTGTGAGTCGTTTCCTGCAACAAGGATCAGAAACAGTGATGATTCATGAGGACAGAAGCTAAGAACAAAATCTTCATATTTATTCTTCTTAGACCTGCATTTTGGCATTCTTTGACCACTGCCATCAAACCAGAATAATGGGGATGAATGAAGAGATAGATGGGGAACTGGCTGAATTCCCTGCACTACAGATAAAGTCATCCAGGCAGACTCCTCGATAAAGTGACATTACATAAACCCTCATCTTTGGTTCCAAAGTCAAAGGCCCTAATTAATGCCACACTGTAGGAGAGTCGTGAGTGCTCTTTGAGCTTGCAGCTTTCCATTGCTAAGCCTTTGGTCTCTGTTCTTCTATTTGTCTCCCAGATCTCTTCTCTGCTCTGCCCCGCTCTGTACACAGGTAGGGTATTCCTGTCTAACCCTTAGATGGGGAAATCAAGCTCCTGTACTTTAGAGGACCCCACTCTGACTCTCTCTCTCTCTGACATCTGTGGGACCAAGAAGACACGACTCTCTAGAGTCTGTGGACTCTACCCTTGACCTTTCTAGGCCATGCTCTGGGCACCCAATTCCCACCTGAATTGGCTTGAAAACTACCACTTTCCTTTTCATATTCCAGATGCCTTTGGGAAAGACTGCACAAATAAGAAGCCCTAGAGAAATCCAGGCTAACTTCCAAACACACACACAGACACAAAAACAGACATACACGTTGCACACACACATGCATTACGCACA